AGATCTTAGTGTATCACTATGGATTAAGTGTGTGAAATTAATCAATAGAAGACTGGAGAATCCGGTGAGCTTGTTCCATTTATTACTACGTAGTTAGATTTTTGACTGTGATCACAGGCAAAGTCTATACTTAATATTTTTCCCAACAACTATTAAAATACGTATTTAGTCGAGTCCATATACCTTTAGGTAATGCGTATATCGTTAAATGCAATCACATTTGAACAAAGTTTACATCAATATAATTTACGTACTTGCGTTATTCTACTCATATACAAAATCCAATTATATGGTCGTTTGATAGAACTTCATCAATTTGATTCAATGTTCTAATTGTCCAGTTTTGGAAAATACTTATTAAATCAGCTATTAAACTATTATAATACTAACTAGTTTCATATCTAGTTATTATAAAGTATTTATTTATTGAGGATAATAGACTAAAGTGACTATGGTCTGGTCTCATTGCTAGGGAAACAGCCATTGATGAGAGAGAGGGGTTATTGAGTGGCGACCCTGTGAATGCAAGTGCGGTGTGGGCTACCTCCATTGATTGGAGTGACTGTTTTATGTGTATTGTGGGGCCGTTCCTTGTGTCAGTCGGTGGAAATTGCCTGTGTTCAGTCGTGGGTTGGTGATGGTTGGGACGATGATGATGATGAAATATTTGTATTTATTACACTATTACAGTGTTGGTTTGGAATATCTGTTCATACTTAACGCTTCATGGTGAAGTGTTTTTATACCATTACTCGGTCGACCAGATTAATGATTCTTAGTCTATATTTGATTATCCATGACTACATGTGGGGATTTGTTTTACACCAGATGTACAAAGAGACAGCTTAACTGTTGCAAGTGATATTATGTGAATGTAATACTTTTAATACATTATTAATTGTGTTACTAGATAAATTCATGTGACTGTGGGGTGTTTATGGTAAACAAGACTGTATTGTTTAAATAGATATTTTGTCTTGATCTATTATAAACTCTAATATTGATTTTATTGTAGTAAACAAGCTGATAATAACAATTCTGTGTGTATTACTGGTTTCTAATAATTTTTAATTATGCTGATATTATAGGTGTGGATTTAATTCCTAGTGGTAATAAAATTATCAAAGGATTCTCTGACTATAATTACTATTAACTAGGTAACTGTACCTCATGTACAGTATAAAATTAGTACTAAATGACAAGTATGAGTTATATATTTTACTTATATTTAGGAAGAAAGTTGTCATGGCGATAAAGTTGTATGTGTGTTGTTTGTTCATGCTATATTGACTAGACAAGTTCAGACAGGGTTAATATTAGTGAATCTTTATTGGATTTATATTTAATATACATATTTTGAATATTTTATGGGAATAGAATGGAGATATACAAGTAGTAAAATATATTTTATGCATTTAATTATTGAGTTAGTTGTATATGTTGGGCTGTATTCAAGGGAATATGATCTTATTAATATCAAGTTAGGACAATTACTTTAAATATTAATAAAGCAAACACTAACACTGATTATTCACTTCTTTAATAAATTTACATTAGAGGCTAGAAATCAAATAGATAGCATATTGGGAAAATCTTCACCACACATGTATTTGAGAAATGTTCTTGATAATTAGTACTGTATGTATATATTATTGCAAGTACAATTGCAATAAGAATGTTAAACTTCTAATCTTCTGTTCATTCTTGAATTTGAAAATAAGCTTGGCTACTGATATGAATATAAAACTGCAGCATTACTGGATACTATTAATTATTTCTGGTGTAAACCATGATTATTTATGTCACTGATAATTTAGTTGTATATTACGGTTGATATATGATGATTTTATATTTAATTATATTAAACAAATACAAATAAACAAACTTGCTAGTATTTGTTACGTTGACAGTTGTGATAGATAATCAAAATTCAATTCAATACATCAATACGTCATTCAATACGTCATTAATGTGACAGATGTCAAACAAAAGGAGATTATACACGTTATGATTCTATATCTAAGTCTATAGAAAATTTATATAATTTTCTATTATTTTATAATAACTGTAGGGGAAATATTGGAATTATTTATATGAGAAATTTCACTTAAATGATATGATAATTATTTAAAGACCTAATTTCTTAGGGATTTAATCATGATGATTTAAACACTAAAAAACTTGTTTATCTGAGAATCCTCTTAGTAAATAGGTTTTACTAAGACACTAAAAGGAAGTAGATATAGTGTAACTATAGTACAGCTACAATAATTGTATGGGACTTACTGTTCCTTCTATACAAATATATATTTAATATATATCTTTCCTATTATAATTATTCAATATACATCTACTACTACAACATACACAAATAGGACTTATTGTCCTTCCTATATACCTATATATATAATAATTGACCTGGCACTTTAATGTGTAATTTATCAGTACTTATGACAACAACCAATTAGGACTTATAGTCCTCTCTATAAAGCTACATAATTATTTAATCTGATTATTTCACAATGTGATTAATCAAACCTCTACAAATATTACAAAAGATCTCTATTACTCTCAACACAATAATAGCTTGTTGGACTTAGTGTCCTCAAACTTATAGAAAACCCAACTGGTTATTTCACGAGACGTTGTTAACTTGTGATTAATCAGTGTCTTTTAAAGGACTTATAGTTCCTTTAGATATATCTCTCTGAATAAATAATTGGTTAATTCGCAATGTGGTTAATCAACAATAATATTATATATAATTGACTGGACTTATAGTTCATTCAATAGCACTCATTACTTTTAGTAGCTCTCGACCTATGGGTTGGACTACTCGTTCTTAGGCTCCGGCCTAATCAACAGATTTAACTTGAACCTTGAGTATTCTTGGTATTAAGTAAATAATATTAAATTGACAATGCTATGTTATGATATAGCAATTATCAACATTATATGGCTTGGCCAATTCCAGGGTGTGGAAGGTATCCCCTATCACACAAATCTTCATCTCTATCGGACTGTCTTCACAGGTGATCTCTAATGTCACATTATAGGGCCGAAGGGTTATGTCCCAACAAAGTAAGTTCTGGTGTCTGGGTGATCTCGCTTCTTGGTCTGATCTCTTGTGGAGCCGAAGGGAAACCCCCATTGAGTAAGCTCGTAACAGGGTGACGCTGGGAAACAGTTTCGTACTGTTAGTGGGTGATCTCTATGTCGCCATATAGGACTGAAAGGGTCATCGCCCATGAGTAAGCTCTCGTGTCGGAGTGATCCTGGGATTTCAGTTCCGATCCGTTTGCCTCTGGCAAACTAATTTATACTGGAAGCATCGTGGGGCTGGTGGAGCCACTGTAATGTTGAAGTAAATGTACTTATGTTTGGTTTGGAACTGAGAATACTCATTCCCTTATTACCATCAGAGTGCATTAATAAATAGTAATACCCTTCCCTACCTTTTGGAGGAAGAGTTATAGATAGTTGGAAAGTCTTCCACTGGTCCGGGCGTGTGAGGGGCCCGACCGCTCCCCCATTTTTTTATTATTACAGTTATTCTGTAATTTACTATTAAATTAACATAACTTCCTATTTACACGAATAATGAGTGTAATTCATTAATTATTTTTAATCCTTAAAGCTTTATCAATTATCTTCATTATTTAACTCCTATCATATACCAATTAAAGAACCTTTTGGTTATTACACACACAATGGGTCCTACATTACTAGACGATCACACATTTATTTATCTGGCCAAATGATCAAGTGTTCTACTATAAGATCTGTTTAATATTATGTGTTTATTGTAAGGTTTTTTAAGATTCATAAGATGTTTAGGGTGTATAAGGTAATATAGGTATGGGCTATATTGAGGGTGTTAGGCCATTCTTTAGGGTAAGTTTTTATTAGATTTTCATAGATTTCATTAGGTTAAGCCTTCGTAGGCTTTTCTTAGGCTTTGTAGGTTTTCCATGTGTAGGTTTAGTTTAGAGGGTAGGTATTTTATATGAAGGGGTACAAAGGGGCACAGGGGGGGAACAGCACAGCTACAGATATTCTAAATCTTAATATAAATATCATTCTCCAACAAAATGTTAAAAAAAGATACTTAGACTACAATCTTAAAATTTACTCCGTTGTCACGAATCCGAAGTTCTAATAACCCTCCTTTTACCTAGCTGTCGGGTAAATACTTATGGATACCAAGTAGGTTGGGTGAAATAATCTAAGTAGCAAATTATCTCACGTTCTAATACCCTTATACTTGGTGCTCATAAAATTGAACTGTCAACCGCAGAGAACCTCAAGGAACCAGCACAGTTCTCATTAACTGTCCAGAACATTATTATTCACAGTTTATCGTCTACAAAAAGGGCGAAAGTGGTTTAGTGCGCTGTTAAAGTCACTCTTCATCAAGTTTCGGGAGCTAATGCGAAAACGGCAAAGGTGACTTTACAAGAAACAAAACCCTTTTAAGAGGCTAAAATAACATTTATTAGCTATAAAACAGCTCACTAAGTCAAATAGGGGTTCGGTATTTATTTTTACTGATTTATTTTAGGCACACTTTTACCGAGTACATTTTTACTTTCAGCTTTATAATAAAAGGAACTGCTTTTAATTAAATTTATAAATGGAATATAACATAAACGCAAAATTATTGTACTGATTTCATTTAGAAGACTGTGACGCATCTATAAAACATTCAAAAATGGAACCAAGAACTTAGTTGTTACTTTTCAATTCGACATTTTTATAAAACATTCTTTATAAATCGTGTGACAAATAATGACGGGATTCAATCGTATAATAACTTATACAACAACATAATAAAAAAACTATTATGTAATACAAACTTATTGAGATGTTGAAAAACATTAAATTTTCTATGCACAAGTATTGTAACATCCAGTCCGCTGCATACAGAAAGAAAAATGTCTTCGGCAAAGTAAATGCCCTAAAATCTATCAGATATAACATTAATAAGCTTGATCACTTACTTGTGGTGTTGCCGGACATCTCTATGATGCATTTGCATTCCCTGGCGATCTCTCGCGAGTTGAAGGGGCGGACCCTTACCGCCACCTTCACCGACGACATGGCGGCTGTGGCTTCTGCTCGCTGCGTTAAAAATCTAGAGCATCGGTACTAGCACTCTGTTATGCCTGGAACAAAACAAAACACACATTTAAAATACATCTATACTAATATTATGAAGAGGAAAGATTTGATTGTTTGTTTGTTTGTAATGGATAAAATCAAAAAATATTCAACCGATTTCAAAAATTCTTTCGCCTATAGAAACTTATATTATCAACGAGTAACACAGGCTGTATAGTATTTTCGAAAATTCTATCTACCCGTACGAAGCCGGGCCGGGTCGCTAGTTAATTATAATTTTAAGGATCTCCTTGATAACTCAGACATGTACTAATAAACCAAATACTAATCTATACAATCATATTTTGCACTTATGAGTAACTTTTTTTTACACGCAACGGAACAGTTAGATATAACGAGTTGAAACCGATTCAATCCGGCGATAATAATCGATTTGCAATGAAAGCGGCAATTTAATAACGGTTATTTTAATGAAATACTACACCAATTTTGTGGAGATTCTATATCAGATATATAGCTTCAACCAATTTTATTCATCGTGACCATTGATCGAATTACTGAAAGATATAAAAAACGTTTGGAGTACACCTCAGGCGTCAATTGTTGTTTATTCATTGTGACGGATACCGAACGATGAAGTAAACTTTTTAAACTCAACAAATAGAGTTTCAATCAACTACATTAATGGACTGTATTATCGAATTGTATCAATCTGCCTGAACACGCAACATGATAATAGAACTTTGAAATCATATTAAAAATCTATAATAATAAAAGGCCATTATTCAGAATACTTTTAAAACGGGATATTTTTAGCCTTATATCACGTAAATAAAGTCATGAACACGGCTAGTGTTGAAATAATTTGATTCACTAAAATTTGGGACCTACAATCCTGGTTAGTAATTACAATATTAAACCAAACTGACGGTAAAAATCGAGGCATTAAAAAGAGAAAGTAAGAAATAAGTATTTTCATTACAAATCGGAATTCAAGGTATCCTAATAAACATATCTTCTTCACTATACACAATAAATAGCCAATGACTTTAATATAAATAAATAAACATTTGCCTTCTATAAAGTCTGAATCATCACAAAATCAGAGCACGTTCAAGGGGGACTTTTGGCTAAAGGCAGTAATCACTCCTTCGCTTCACTGTTCGCTAACTGCCATTCCAGTTCAAGTTATTTTAAATTATTTTCATACTGGCTGTACATGGCAGCTTCGCCCGCGTGATTCAATATAAAGTGTACTCTATGTGCTAAAATATAAGATACTATACCAAATTTCATTCAAATCCGTTCAATAGTTTTTGCGTGAGAGTAACAAACATCCATCCAGGGGGAATGGATTGTTAGTAATGCCAACTACCAGGCTCATTGCTAGCAATATACTCTGTTAGGTCCTCCAGGCAGTCCCCCCTGGAAACCATTGTGCTTGATTCTACGTGTATTCATCACGATAAGCTAACTGACCTGCTTTTTCATTCTCACCTATTGATCCTCATTGGTGCTCCGCCAGCGTATACCGTCAGATACCTGATATCATATCATTACCCTTCATCATTCATCATAGATTAAAAAAATCCAAACATCTAACATTTCGCAAATAAAAAAAAAAACTCACATTTATAATATTAATAGAATGTACCTATATTATTGTACATTTAAGGGCTATTTGCCTGTTGAACGAATATATAAAATTGTTTATAAACGCTTCAACGGTTAACGAGATTAATTGTTGCATGTGCATTCATTCGAGGTCACGAATACCTTTTTTATGTTTAAGTGCATGTATCAAGAACGTTTAATGGTTATGGATGGATTAACTTCTAAAATAATACTTGAAGACTAAATAAATTTATATTCTGTATATAAATGTAATAAATAATCGAAATAGAAATAGTAAGACATGGATGAACTGTGTGAAAGATGACATGGCCAGAATGGGAGTGAATGCGTAAATGACTGCGAATAGAGAAGAATGGAAGAGAAAAACATATTGCGCCGACCCCAAATAATAATTGGGATAAGGATAGGAAGATGATAAATCGAAATAGAAATAATAAAGGTCGAAATATCAGTATTGATTTTTCAAGAAAATTAGCTCAGGAGTGGCAATGTTTGAGGGTTACGGTAAACCCGTCCATGTTACTGTTCATCACTCTCTAGGTGACGGTTACCACTGTCCATTACTGTGACGGATGGCCAGCTTAATTACAATTCCGTATTGCACATTAAAAACTATACAGACAAAAGCAAATTATTTTTTGTCTGTTTATTACGTCATCATTAAAAAACGGCTGATCAGGGACCATATCATGAAATATTTTTCGAAATTTCGGAGCCGAACCGAAAACAAATTTGATGTTATAATTACATAATACATACCGTTTAAAATATTTAAAATGTTAAAATATAGTTACTCCGGACTACTACGGTAGGATTTATGACGAACGAAATGTTAAGCTCCATTTACTGAGCCGATTTCGGTACGAACAAAAACACGAAATTGAGCCCAAAAATATGGAATTCCATTTCATTCTAGACCCGCAGTTTTCAATGAAAATTAATAGACGCATAGATATTAGCAATTACTAGATGATTTTATGTTTATACTTTTATAACATAGGTAAATTACAACAAACAACAATTCACATCTAATGGTAAATATATATAATATTAATAATAAAAACTTGTCTAGGTCTTTGTAGAAAAAAAAACTATATCGTCTCTTAATTAAAATATACCTTTTTTTTTATAAAAAGGTAAATTCCTGACTGAATGTATTCGTATGAGGAAACATACTACCCGATATGGTATAAAAGGAAGTCTTGCACCTGCCAGTCCGTATGACAACTAACAACTACGATAGAACAGAAAAAAATACCTTTACTAGGTAATGACTCAAGTAACTAATTATGTTGATTAAATGATTTTATAACGTTCTAGGATATTGTATATACATCGCTATATACAATCCTAAAGTAGAAAAATAAATTTTGTTTTACAAAAAGAAGTGACTTCAATTGCGACTAAATTAAACTATAAATTTTATTACTCCTATATACACAAATAAAACACACCGATGGGTGACAAGATATATAAATAATTACGTAATTCTATTAGTACACTCTTTGTTTCTTTTAGTTGATATAATACAAACACCTATATAAAAGTAAAATAATAAGAATACAAAGACACTAAAAAATTTGTAATAAATGTCTATGGTAAATGTTAGGTTCAAGCAAATACCAAGCCAATAAAAGGGAATATTTACAATCGTAACTGGAAACGGGAACTAATGAGGGTAGGCGTGGGACGAAAAAGACGTTTCAAAGGCAAACGCTAGACTTTTCGAGACAATTCCACAAGCTATAACGGTTACCCAAGTCTTCGTGAATTACCGAATTTCTCGGTTACGTCACTGACAGCGTATATAGGAAAAGAGAGAGATTAATTAATACATTTTTCCATTCTATAAACTACCTATAACAAGGAGAATGACAATTACACTTAGTTCCACGAAGAAAAGTGGCGAAATCTATGTTGCCAAAACACATAGATGAACAAAGAGATGTTTCGTGGACACATTAGAATGAATATATTTGAATTTAGAACGCGGTATCATGAATTTACAAGTAGATTTTGCTTCGTAACAACAAGTAGAAGAAAGGTAATGGCAGTTTTAATTGCCACAAAATTAATATAGAATCAATACAGGAGTAAACACAACACTATCGATTACAAATAGAATTATATAACAGAATCTGTTTAAAATTGGTTACTTAGTCGCGTAACATAACCACAAAAGATATAAGCGAAAAGAACACTCTCAGTCTTATTACAATAAACTCATTATAACCCGGACTAAACCTTGACTAATAAAAAGTACCGCTTTACATTATTTTAACTATTGTAATTTTTCTTTTTTCTATTGTCTTTGATCATCAAAGATAATAATAAACTTGTCGTTTTTAATTTAGAGCTCACAATTAGAAGCAGGCGCATACAGTGTAGTTAACTATGACAAAAGCGACGATTCTAAAACGTTATTGTCGAAAATCTATATAATAAAAAAAAAATAATAATAGACCTCAAAATGTGTCTATATTCCAGAACACTTTGAAATATCATTCTTTATCAATACTTTTAAAGTTATGAATTAAAATTAGTATCGACTTTAACGTTTTATCTGAGATTGTATGGGGAAAACGGACTGTTAGTAATGGAGTTTAACTTGTTCCACCGTAAGCAATATAATCAGATCGACCTCAATGCGGTTCCCCTGGAAACCATCGTGTTTAATTCTTTTTAAATTCGTCAGTGAAGCACTGACGAATTTAAAAAGAATTATACCAACGTATACGGCGCCGACGGAGTTATCATTCCATTTTACCCATTAAACAAAATCTATGAGATCGTATTTTATATCGAATTGATACAGATTCATAACGAAAAATAGAACGACAATATTAAAGAATTCGTAAAGGTGAAACTGTAAAAGCATACGCGAATGAGTATTATAAAAAAATATAACAAAAGTTTACGAGACGTGAGATCATTAAGTAAAAAAATCGAGATCAACAACGGCTGGCCAAACTACCGTTGCAGATACGGCTGCGCGCTCACTACCGTCAAATGTACTGTACCACAAACATAAATATAAATAGATGCCGCAACTCCATTAACTCTGAAGTAAGCTTAAAACTTATTTGTTTCCAGCCTTCTATTCGAATTTCTATATGACATTTATATCGAATTAGTACATTTTGTTCTGCAGAAAACAGTTTTATTACAATGGAATTATGTAGCGTATGAATAAACGACGATAAATATACTTCATAGACATATTGAATTGAAATTAGTATTTGAATTCAGAATGGAAAACCTTGTCTACATTGTTGACATTATTTCAGAACACACGGGTTTTTACTTTGCAAGGAATAACAGTAGCTTTAATTATTACAAAATTAATGAATTTAACACGGGAGTAGCCCTATCAATTGCTAAAAGAATTATCAAAATCAATTCAGATACG